CGTGCACGAGCAGCTGGATAGAACAGGTGTAAATTACGCAGCTCATTTACACACGTTTCCTGAAGATAGAAGAGTTTGTTGAATCTGACGTGACATGTTCGTATGAACTCTTTGTACGAACAAAAGTAAGAGAAATTTAGGATAAGAATACGAACATGTTCTTGCATGAGGCCCATTGTCCTCTTCCTGTTCTGGACAGATTAGTGCATTTTTACGTCTTAATGATCAGATTTGTTCAGATGAGCTCAATCTGAGGTCAGATTCTGCAGCCTGAGATGTTCTGGTTGGTATTCCCAGAGATGGGGACTCGTGACTCAGACTTAGAATTGAGTCGCACTTAATCCCTACTATTAGAGACTTAGACTTGACTTGGACCCTAAAGACTTGAGACTTGACTTGGACTCATGGTTTGAGTTTGTTCCTTTTGTGACAACTCATTAAAGGTCAACTAACGGTCTTAACTTTATGCCACAACCGTAGCATCAAGCTGGATGAAAGTTTAAACTGTTCATTTTAGATAGAATGGTTATAATGTAAAGGTGTTTTATTTTAGCCACAAAGAATGGTTTCCCCCTGGAGATCATTTAAAAATCCAGAGCTTAGATGTAAATCTGTGTGACACAAGAGCTGCCCTCACCGTCTCACTAACAGAACAGCTGTAGAAGGAAGACAGGAAATATTACAAATCTGAGGTGTGGCAGCTGATCGGCCTCTTCTAAAGAAGACTGAAGGTTATAATTACATAAGAAGATGCTTCAAACTGTAAAGGTGTGGACACTTGTGCAACCAGCTTATACTGCACCTTTTCATTTTTTATTCCACCCCCAAGCAGATTTGTTTTTTGTATTGTGCTGGATGTAAATATTAATTTAAATGTTCTCATCCTCCAAACAAACAAGATGTAGTCACTTTACCAGAATGGTACCTGTGAAGTCTGAGCTGTTTTTAAAGTGCCTGTGATGTCCAATTTTTTGTAATAAACTTGAATGCGTTTTTGGAAAGAGAACATTGATAACATATTGCAAAACAAATTTCACGCCGTTGAGATGAACGGTTGTTGAGATATTTGCATGTGAAGAAACAGGAAGTGATGTCAAAGGGGAATGTCTGCATGTGAACAGAGCAATGCTGCAATAATTTAAGAATCTGATTTTTCTTTAGATTATTTTGAGTCCCTATCAGAGTTGAAGAAGAGTTTAAATGTTGTTTCAACAAACAAAGGCTAGAGTTTCTTTTCTTAAAGAGTTCCCCTTTGATGTCACTTCCTGTTTCACTTTGCTGAGCCAAATTCAAGAGAAAATATGCCAGTTATGAGACAAAGGCTGTGTCTCAATTCATGGGCTGGGCCCTCATGAGGACCCAGCCTAGCTGGGCCACGTAGGCCACATCCTTGCTGGGCCAGGTAGGCTGCTCAAAACTGCTGCGAAATGAGACGGTCCAGCCTTCGCCTGAYGTCAGCTTCACGTGGGTTTGCGTGACCACGTGCTCCCCCGTTACCATAGTGATCAGTTTCACGTCGGACTTAAAATGCTTCAGGACGTGTTTACACATCTTTTTACTGGAAGAATAAATTCACAGTTAAAAAGGTAAACGTAAATAAAGAAAACAATAATTTGGGTTTAGCTCCAGTATCTACAACGGAGATAACACATATTTTTTATTATTATTACAAAAATAAAGTCGTATGTGAATAAATTTGTAATATTATGTGAATAAAGTCAGTGCTTGGTGACCTTAAGAATGCTGGAACAATTTATTCATTTAGTAGA